ATGTTTCTCGTTTATCGTTGGTTCTTCAATGCCACCGGAGCTGATCGCGGCCACTCAGTCAATGCTTGTGTTTATATCGGCCACACCACGGCCCAGAACTCATGCTTATCACATCGGTCACATCACATTTCCTAACTGGGTGTCTACACCGGACGCGAGTGGTGCAGCGCGGTGTGACAAAATACAATAGAACCCATTATAATCAGTGATGCTGTCTCTACACTGGATGCAGCGCGACGCGACATGACAAATCCCGACAGTAAACTGATGCCTCGTTCGTCGTTCTATTTATGACGTACTGACACAAAGTACAAATGATTTTCAATGGTCGCTTTGTCGCGTCCAGTGTAGACATGGTGTGTCAGCATAGTTTGTCAGTACAGTCAGTAACGTAGCAGATTGAAAAGTTAGTATCTTTCTGCAGTCCAATAGACGGCGGTGCAGTGGTGGCTTGCGTCTGTTGAATGGTGATTTAACGCTACGTTATCACCTAGTTGGAGAGACTCAATGCTCTAAAGTAAATAAACAATGTCCTCGTCTTTTACTCTCACAATGAGCTTATCATATTCGTTTGCTACATTAGTAGGGCCCAATGATTTTCGCTAGATTTTTGGCCCATATTTAACATAAATGGTTCATACAGAACTATTTTCAGCTTTATATTTGGTATATATTACAGTCATCTATAAATATTTTTGTTTTTTCAGGTTTTTTTTTTGCATTGATATTCTTGAAGTGATAGAAACATACAAGTGAACATAGAGAGACCTGAAAATAAAAATATTATTTAAAAAAAACAGACTTTTGCATGCACACAATAAATTTTTTTGTGCCCTTGAGAATCTATTCACATGTGCATGGGAATTGTTTTGCATGCTTACACAATTTCTAGTTTTATATAACCCATTTCCTTTGCGCATCACTGCCATCTTGCTATAAATAAAGCAAGAGCATGGATGAACAATGTCCTCGTCTTTTACTCTCACAATGAGCTTATCATATTCGTTTGCTACATTAGTAGGGCCCAATGATTTCCGTGATGTGGAAAATGCAGATGGAATCGCGGAATCCAGTCATAAAAATGGAATTGACTGTATAACGCGGAATTTAATGGAATTTGTCTTATTTTTGATGAATAAATAAAAAACAGGTCAGTACATATATATAGACTGTGTCTGTGAATATTAAACTACAAAAATATTTAAATACGAATGTTCTGCATGTTCATTTGATTACCAGAAAATACACAACACAGAATTTGTGAAAAAAAAAAAAAATCATTATTATTATTAATAAAAAAACAGACTTTTTCATGCACACAAGAAACTTTTTTGTGCCCTCGAGAAACTATTCACATGTGCATGGGAAATTTTGGACGCTTACACAATTTCTAGTTATATATAACCCATTTCCTTTGAGCATCACTGCCATCTTGCTATAAATAAAGCAAGAGCATGGATGCACATGAATTAATAGAGATCTACTTGCTCAAAATGTGGCTTTCCTTATAGTAGTACCTCTAATATTAAGGCCTAATGTCCAATTTAGCCTCTGCGGCGGCGGAAAAACCATGACACGAAATGATGACTGATGGCATAATATGGCTGTGTGCACTGACCTATTCACCAAGTTCAAGGATCGATAAAAAAAGCCTGGTTTTGTAAAAAAGTGTTCAAAGTGTGGCTTAGGGCAGTATGTCATATTTCAAGGCCTTAGGTCTCCTTAACGCATATTCTGTGGCGGCCAAAAAACCACACCGCGAAATGGGCTGATGGCATAATAGGTGGCTCAAAATGCATTGTCCTATATGCTAAGTGTAATGGTTTCTCGTGCGCACATAAAAGTCAGTATATTTTTTATTTTTACAAAGGTCCTTGAGGCTATGTAATATGGTGCTAAGAATATCGTGAGAAGAAACCCAAAATGCAAAATTAAAAAGTGCACCTTGCACCAAGCGCACCAGTCGTGTTTGACAATGATTAACAACTGCCACTTCTTGTATGATAAACTTATTTTCATTAAATTCTTAAATTTCTATTATAAAAAACTAAATAGGGGCAAAAGTCTGGAAATGCAAATATTTTTCCATACTCCGCTTTCTTTTTTTGCATACTTTTACAGACCTGGAAATAGAGACCTGCACTCCCGCGGGAGTACCGCGGGACCCGCGGGACCCAACGCAACAGTGTGCGGCGCGGGACAACTCTTGATGGGCGAGTGCGGGTGCGGGCGGGAAGAGACAATATTTTATCTGGAGCATTTATGCTGGTATGTTGTGGAGCTTAGGAGATATTACAGAACCATTTCATGTAAATTTCTTCGATGTACTGAAAACAAATCTATATAGATTACTTTTATGCGGGCTTTTGCGGGTGGGAGCGGGACAAAACATGAAGGTCGCGGGCGGGAGCGGGACCAGATAAGCTATATTTTTGCGGAAGCGGGACAGAATCTTGCGGGAACGGGCGGGAGCGGGACTGAAAACTCCGTCCCGCGCAGGTCTCTACCTGGAAATTACTTAAATCAAATTCCATACTTGTCCATACTTAGGAACGTAGGAACCCGGAGAGAGGCTGAAGTTACCTTGGTAAAAGACCACGATGTTGTTTATATAGCAAACATGGACTTTTACCATGGTAATGTAAGCATAAAATATGCTAACAAGGCAGGTAAGGATAGCTGACCACATTAATCCTCAAATATTAGCAGATTTTATCTTTTAAAAACAACACTGATTTAACTACATATATATACTTTTTTTTTGCCTCTGAATAACATTTGCAAATGAAAATAAATTGGTCTATACTAAAAGTACTTTTTACAACTAATTACAAAATAACTTCAGTTCAACATCAGAAAAACAACATCAAAATTTAACAATAAATAAAAATGCATTTTTTTTTATTTTTCCAATCTTTTTTATGTACGCTTTCATTCAGCAGAGCAGTGAGACCCTGGTGGAGCTGCTGGACCTGGACGGGCTGCCATAGAAAGCCTGGTGTGGCATCATCTGGGATAGTCTCCAGAGTGTTTGAGTGCATATTTCCACTGTCCAGCAGTGAGGTTCAGGTTTATCCTGCAGTACAGGGCTCTGGTCTGATTTAAGGAAATGAGGAAAGCACTAATTGTGTAGAGCTATGAAAAAGTAATTGGTGGAAGAAATATGAGTTACTTTAGTAAAGTACTTTCAGTAACTACTATTAGCACATTGAGGGAAAAATGCATGCATTTAAAACCTTAAGTAAAAGTATTATCCTTCATACTGTAATGTACTTAAGGTATGAAGAGTAAAAGTAGCCTATGTATTCTGCAGAAACAACTATATATGATGGTCTTGCATTAGTATTACTGCTTCACTACAGTGTACTGTATGTTGCATTTTACTTCTGAATATGTTCAAGGTTGTTACATTTAAAATACTTTATATAGGCCTACTGTTGGGCAGTTTAATGTACAACAGTGCATGATATTGCAAAGGACCATGTTTTTGTATTGCAGCTGTCCTACGAGAAAAAATATCATTTGTATGTGAATACTTATGGAATGCATTTCGGTACACTCCACCACTTTGTTATTTTGGAGATGAAATGAATAAAGTGTATTGCTAAGTTGCTACAACTGTGAACCATATCAAGGCTGCTTCCAAAGCACTCGGACCGGTCTAGCCTACGGAGGACTCTTCTTGTTGCCTAGCAACTTTGTCAGCTGCAGTAGACAAGCGCAGTAACATTTGTAAGTTAACTTTTTATATTCGGCTGCATAAAACTAAACAGGGTTGAGAACCTGTTTAAATATGTTCACCATGGTCCATTTATGTACATAATAATCAATAATAGAATAAACAACATAAAATCACATTTTGGTAAGATGTAAGTCGACATTTAATCGCTTTATATTTTGTATTTGGACCGGTCTAGCCTACGGAGGACTCTTCTTGTTGCCTAGCAACTTTGTCAGCTGCAGTAGACCAGCGGCAGTAACATTTGTAAGTTAACTTTTTATATTCGGCTGCATAAAACTAAACAGGGTTGAGAACCTGTTTAAATATGTTCACCATGGTCCATTTATGTACATAATAATCAATAATAGAATAAACAACATAAAATCACATTTTGGTAAGATGTAAGTCAACATGTAATCGCTTTATATTTTGTATTTTTTCACGTCATTACAATATTAAAGTAAGTCTTACATTTAAAGTGTAATTCGGTAATTAAAAGTCAAGAACTAACAATTCAGGCTCCATTTATTTTCGTTTTCATTAACAAATAACATCTATGGCAGCTCTCTTCTCGCACCGTTGCCACGCGACTGGAGCATTAATCGGGAACACCTGCTGGCGCAATCAGGAAATTCTGCGAAGGCTAGACTCGGAGCGTCCTTCGAAGGCCGTGTCGGCTGCATCCTTCGGAGGACCCGTCCTCCGAAGGATGCAGTCTTTGAATTGGGACACAGCTACTGTATTCCAACTGCCTGCTATGAACTTCCTGGAACTATTTGAGGTCTACGTGAATCACGTGAAGATCGAGCGTTCCGAACTTCCGTTGTCGCAATTCTCTCTCTCTCACACTTTACGGCTCTTTTCTGATGTTGAGCCAAGTGGAGCGCGGAGGTTGTGGTGTCTCCCCATAAAAAGAACATCTCACTGAACTAGTATGAAGAAAGTTAGGAAAATATGTTTTTGTACTTGTCCATCCCGTAGGGACTCCGTTAAACTGTGTAGATTGAGGTTGGGGCACTGGGGGTTAAATTACTTTTTGTATATTGTAGGAAAGCATATTTCTGGATTATGTTAATGTGGGAATATGGAAACAGTAGGGCATGTTTTCTTGGAATGTAGAAAGTATAATATACAAAGAAAAGCACTTTTTGATGAATTGGCAGAACTTGGCGTTGAAGTGTTTTCTGTTAATTCTTTGTTTGGACACAGTGATAAGCATAAACTGATCTCTGAGGCCGGAAAGAGAGGAAGAAGAAGAAGAACTAGTCTGAAGCGCAGTTCATTTCGTAGACCGAACAGAGTGGAGCTCATTTGCAAAGCAGCAGTTTAGATTGAATTATTATTACTTTTTGTCTCACTTCTCCTACCGCAGGTAAGAGAGCTCGGATGAATGATAAGCCCAGGAGTGATAAAAATTAAGGAAAGCTAGTTTATCGTTGATTCTGAAGAACAAATTAGATCTTGTTGACGACTAATTCCGGCAAGTGTATCCGCTGATAAAGAGTGTATTTAATATTACAGTTGACATGAGATTGTATTCGTTTAAAATAATTGGAACTTTGTTTTAAGTCTATATATATTTCATATTTTAGGCTGTACTTTAGAATTGTGAGCACGTGGTGTGTCCATGAGCACGTGTTTGCGCCATCGCTCTCATTCACCGTGAAATTACATTAAAGAGCGTTTAATAAAGCTACATTAATGTTTGCTAAATTATAATACATCAGTGATTTTGTTTTTGTCCCTCTTTTAGGGTTATTTACAGTTACAGTGGACTTTGTGGCCAGGGATTCTAGGTAAGACCAGGCCTGACTTCATTGCATCAAACATTTCCAGTTTGTGTGGTCTGGAATGATGTGTTTACTGCGTTAGACTGCTGAACATCACTGATGTCAAATCAAATCTCTGACCAGACTGGTGAATTTCAACTACAATCTGTTTGATTTTGAAGCTGGAATGAATGTTTATGATGGCATTTTCTTTTGCAACAGGGAGAGAAGGTGAATTGGAAGAGGCAGAGGTTTGAATGTTCCTCACTATGTTCATTGTAATGGCTGTGGTTTTTGCAAATGTATAACTTATTCTGTATTGTAATATTTTATGTGGATGTAACAAAATTGCACAATCCTGTTTGTTTCTGTACATAATAAACAAAATACACATCTTTGCTTGTGTGTGTGTCATGTATTGCAGTGTTTTTATTATATAAATATATATGTAAGCACTGTATTTGAACCTGTGAAGCCCCTTCATGGCTCAATGGGTCAAGCAACAGTGCAACAGTAAAAGCTTGTTATAACTGGAGCTTCTTGGAATTTCCCCCCAAGTTGCTCTTTTAAAAGCAGTCGACAACTTTTTGTATGTATATGCATTTTTCCTTCTATATAAAGGGGTGTTGAACAGGGGGGTTATAGTGGATCTGAGTAAGAGGCCCACAATGGTATATTTAATTTGTTGCAGTGTTGTATATGAGCACTGTCTTTAAACCTATGGAGCCCCTTTGTGGCTCAAAGGGTCAAGCAAAGGCTTGTTATAACTGGAGCCTCTTGGAGTTGCTCTTTCAAAACCAATCAACAACCTTTATGAATCTGAAGTACAAACAGCTTTTGAAAAAATGCCTCCGGAATTATTTTTGCAAAAGCAGTTTATCAATTTCCACACACAATCATGTTGTCAATATGGCAGAATACAATATTCAAATGAAATATTGCGCAAAGGAAATAGCAATTGTCAGAGCGCACACAAAAGATCAATTGTGAATGGTAATAATTGTAGCATAAACCGTGATCCAAATAAACACATTGAAATCAAACTACATGTAGCATTGATACTTCGACTTCAGTCCAAAATGGAGGTGGAAAAGCCATAATTCATGTTCACTTAAACCTTAGCGGCAGCTAAGATACAGAACTTGTGATGTTGGATATAAAACACTTTTTCAGACCTGTCAATACCAAAGTATCTAACAATGGAAGAATATCAAATCTCATGATATTTTAGATGGCAAAGTTCACTTGCCACTTTTAACCAACAGAAACTACCTACATGATTTAATACACCATTGGCCTGCAAGCGCAGTAAATAATAATAAAAAAAGTCTACCTGATGGCGACCACAGATAGCAATACTTGACAAATTATGCCAAACAAGGTAGACAAAAATATGAACTGTTTGTACATTCAACAATCTTCTTCACATACAAAACACATGAGTTCATCTGTGTTGGAAATAGAATAGCACTTATTTTGAGCCTTGATCTGACATGCAATGTGAGGCGTAGCCCAGTGGTTCTCAACCAATTTCTTGCTTCAGGACCCAGATTCTAGATTGGACATCCCAACAATTGATTCTCATTCAAAAGTAAACAAAAAATACCTTTCAAATCAAACACTAAAATATACTAATATTACCATTAACTGCCCAAAAATATACAGTTATTTACAAGACCGGCTGAATAAGAAACATTGTGGTCAGCACAAATATATAGATCATATATAATGTAATCGGGTTGTATTTTATACACCTTGTGCAGTTTCATTAATGGGTTTTAAAGGCGAGGGCAGGCCATACATACAGTCCTTTATCATCTCTCTGTCTGGTTCTTTAGTCTGTTCAATCTTCAGTTCAAAAACCCTGAAGAGAATGAACTTTTTTAAAATTTAGGTTATGGATCATACTCTTTATTTAGCAACTTAAATTTATGAAAAACACAATGGCTTAAAATTCTCATTTGAGTGTAATTTACGTAAAAATGTGAAAGCCTCTTTAGTAATGTTCACCACAGATCTTATTTTACTTGTACAATCATAAAACACCTTTCGAAAAACCAGTAGAATTTACAAACTATGGCGAATTTGCCTTCAGGTTGCTCCACAAATAGACAGATCTGTTTGAGTTCTGTGACATGAATTTGTACCAAAAAATGCCAGGATTGATTAGATGACAAACTCAAACTTTAGAAAGATATGAGAAGTCTTTCTCTTCTCTTTTAAAAGATTGGCCTATTTATCTTGCTGACCTAACTTTGTACCTTTATCCCTGCTGTTCTCTGAGAACAGGCCTACGACTCACCATTTGAGAACCACTGATCTACGGCCATTGCGGAGGGGTGATGATTGGAGAGATCTCGCTTCGAAAGCTCTTGAACCCTATCCTCTAAAATAGTCCGCTTGAGTAGGGATGGCTTGGGGATGAGAGGTTATTTGGCTGGTGTCCCTCTTGAGCACAGTGAAATTGATCTAATTGCATAATCAGACGCCACACATAGGGCTCAGGCAGCAGTGAATGGAAGAGGATAATGGTGGTACTAGTAGATCTGTTGTGTCTAATAAGTTATTTGCTGCGAGAAGCATATGACAATCACGAGAAAATCATAAATAGGGTGCAAATCTCGGAAATGCCCCCTTTTGGCTTAGAGTTTCTGTTAAAATGACCAGATTCATCCGTTACTGGTGTTTATAGCACGTTCTATACATCCCAAGGATGCACGACCCCAAATGCTTTAACCCTCCAGGTGGTTTGCAGGCACCCTGTCATCCCAAAAGTCCAGTGAAAGCCCTCGGGTTGTAATTCCTATCTGCCAACTAGACGTTAGGCTATTGGAGGAGAGAGTTTAGGTTCTATCATGCGACACTAGGACATTTGGTATGTCAGCGTGCATCAAATGGAGGTAGCGTATACACTTTACCTAGTCACATACAAGTCTTCTGCTGTGTCAACATCACCTGTATGCATTTTATTATGCCACCAAAACCTCTTTATCCTGTTTGAGGGCCAACAGCATATTTATTCATACTGTCCCGAACAAATCAAATGCAAGCAAGCAAGCAATATTGTCCTTTCTTTTAGTTATTGATGTGTTCAGATTTTTCACAGCTCTGTTCAATGGGCAATATGGCACCTGTAATTTTCAACTCAGGTACAGTCCTGCCCTCATGGGACTGAAGTGTTTATCTTTTGTTTGCTACAGTAACTAATCTTCACATGTCCTCAAGGGACTCCTCAGGGTCCAAGGATTCTTCATTCTTCAAGGCATTGGCATTGGAACGCGTGTCCATGGCAGAGTGCATGATAGGCAGCCAGACGTCATCCATGTTTGGCATTACAAATATTTTCTGCGTAAGGTAGACAAAAATAAAATACTTGTCTAATAACAGCAAACAAATATGGGGAAATTGGCAAAATCTCGTTTTACCACAAATTTGAAGGTGCTCTAACACTTTATTTTACAGTGTCCTTGTTACATGTTATTTGTACTTACTATAGTAATAACAGGACTGTAAAAAGAACACCATAAAAATAGTGTAACCGAAGGTGCTTGCATGATTGTTATTCAAATTATACATTCAGAGATCTCATCTATGAGCTCCTTATGTACTTATACACAAAATATTTGGCTCCAAACTGGTAATGATGGGTTTGCAGCTTTTAATTACCGAGAGAAAACCAAAAGCAGGGAACCTCAGTTTTGGCCCTCAAGGTCCACTTTTTTGCAGAGTTTAGCTGTAAACTAACTCAAAGGGGTTTTTGATTAAGTGGAGCTAAACTCTGGATTAAGGTGAACATCGAGGACAAGATTTGAGAACCCCTGCACTAATGAATGGCAATTCTTTTTATCCTATAACACCTTTGAAAAATCTTTTCAATTTAGTCTGATGTTAAAATGATGTACTTTGTTCAATGACTTGACTCTATATTACAAATGATAGAATTACTGTATAATGATCACTGTTCACATCTAGACACTCGTGTCTACACTACACTACCAAATTCTTTAAAATCCAGCTGAAAATTACAACTACAGAAATATTTATGAAAATAAATGCACATTAAAATTGTAAAATCAAATTAAAATGCATTCATGTTCAGTATTTAAAAATAAACGTTTTCATTTTATAATGCAATTGATTTTGCATTCATAATTATATCCATGGAAGACTATATTGGTGTTCACGTTAAGTTCACATATGCATACCTGGAACTCCTGATTGAGTTTGTTTTCTATCCAGTCGGTCACATGAGCAAAAGTAACCTCTCTCTCGCCCAGTTTAGGCCGAGCTTTCAGTTCCAGATGAGGAGGACTTCTGAAACCATACCTGAAATAAACAGAAACATCCACATTCACATCTTTACTCTGAAAACTTAATTTCAGGAACATGTCCATGTGACATTTCACCTTAGGACCTTTTATGTCCAGATGTTTTACGTTTGAGTTCTAAAAAATAAATATACTTTGCAGGGTGCCTAATTGTCAGAAATACTGCCAAGACACACAAAATCTTAATGGCTCTAAATGGCTTCATGTTATTTAAGCAAAATATAATTCCTTTTAAATTTTAAGCTAAAATATATCCTGGACATGTTCTTTACAGGTTTCATGTGCTTCAATCATGCAATAAAATCATTTAAATGCATTTTAAAACCCAATCTTGTACGAATGCTTTTATATGTTCCAGTCAGGTTTTAGGTCTCATTTGATACTGTTGATAATGGTATTATATTGCAGCATTTGGAAGATGTTGGTATTACAGGTACTGCCTTAGATTGGTTTAAGTCATATTTAAAGGATAGATCATTTTCATTTGGCATTGGAGATTTATGTTCTACATCAGCTAAATTACATAGTGGTGTGCCACAAGTCTATACTTGGGCCTATTTTATTTTTGATATATATGGGCCATCCTATTTTCATTTGGCATTGGAGATTTGTTCTACATCAGCTAAATTACATAGTGGTGTGCCACAAGTCTATACTTGGGCCTATTTTATTTTTGATATATATGGGCCATCCAGACTCATTTTTTTGTAAGTATAACATTATGTATCATCTATATGCAGACGACACCCAGGTATATATTCCAATAGATCCAAAAGACTTGTTCAGTGTTTAGTTGAGATTAAAGCCTGGTTGGGAAGCAAGTTTCTTCATCTTAATACTAAAAGACTGGGTGTGTTGTCTTTAGACCCTCTTGTGCTTCTTAGGAAATTATAAGTAGGCTAGCCTCTATGAAGATTAGTTTCAGATCATGTCAAGAATTTGGGATTCATTGATTTGGTTTTGGTTTTAGATAAACAGGTTACTAGTGTTGTTAAGGCTGGGTTTGATCAACTCAGAATTATTTCTAAATTGAAATCAATTGTCTCTTTTAAGGACCTGGAGAATGTTATTCATGCTTTTGTATCATCACGCATTGGCTACTGTAATTCTTTATATATAGGTATCTCACAGGGGCAATTATCTCGTCTTCAATTAGTGTAAAATGCTGCTGCTAGACGTTTGACTCACACAGAGAATTATCCCAGTTTTGGTTTCTTGCCTGTAAAATTTTGAATTGAGTTCTGTTGATGGTTTTTAAAGCGTTGCATGGTATTGCCCCAAAATATATTGTTGACCTTTTGATACCTTATCAAAAGACAAGAAATATGAGATCTTCGAGTCAGATGATTCTTCATGTTCCTAAAACTAGATTAAAATCAAAGGGTGATAGGGCCTTTTCAGTGGCTGCCCCATGATTATGGAAACTTCTTCCAATGCACATTAAATCTTGTCCATCTGTGGATGCTTTTAAGTCTAAGATTGAAATATCTTTTTAGTATAGCTTTTAAAATTGATTAGAGTGATCAGGATTTAATTTTTATTTTTTGTTTGTGTGACTGTATGTCATTGTTTTTGTTGTATTAATGATGCTGGAAAGACTTTGGTCAACGGCAGTTGTTTTAAATATGCTATTGAAATAACATTTGTATTGTATAGATGCATGAAATATCTTGGCGTGTACTGAATAATGACCAGTAGATGGCATGCTAGCAACTTGTAGGATGCCCAAAGATACTATCAGATTTTAATTCTGTGCAGTAGTAGTGTGAAGAGGATATTGAAGGAAGCGCTATACCATATCCTGTCTGTTGGAGGTGGTGGAATGTTGACAGCTAGTGTTCCTCGACACTCCTGAACCTCCACCGTCAGGAGCAGCGGCGTATTGGAGACCTCCTCTATCTTCTTCTTAATGAACTCAGTTTCCGTGGCTTTCTGGAAATACTTAGACTTGGTAATCTTGTCCACAAAGCGCATGATTTTGCTGGGTCTGTGTCCCCCAACATAACTGTGAAGAAAAGAAGCCACAAGCCAATTATTCATGCAGTAAGTTCTGCCAGAGTAATATCCAGGTGTGCAGCCATCTTCAACCCATAGACAGATTCTGTGCCCGAGCTCTATGTTGGGCTGCTAAACTGGTAACAATATCCCAAATTAAAGACAGAAGGAAATGGAAAGATTCTCAATCTCACCCTTCCACTCCTGGAATTTCAGGCACTTCCACAGCATCTTCCTCATCAGAAGATCCTGCACTCGATGACTCTTCATCACTGTCAGCCAGGAAGTAAGTGCGTGGTCTGGGTCTGGTCCATGCACACAAACAAACAAAGGCTTATGCAGCATGTTTCTATGATAACTGGTTTTCTGAAAGTAAGGGAAGTTGCAAAGCTGCAAAACACCTATACTAAAGTCCTTTACACAGCCGATACACAGTCAAAAAAAAGCACTTCTTCATAAAGATGAAAAGGTCTGTTCCGAACCCCAGAGAGCTGTAACACTTTTAGGTATCGTCGGCATATTTCACACACAAATGCACAATCACATGTATCACTCATCTCAATCCCAGAATGCAATGTGAAGCTTATTCAAGGGCTTAGAACAGAACTTCTGCAAGCACATGCGGGGATGTGGTGGTGTTTCAATGGTGAAGTGTCTTATCAGTTTAATATATGGAGCTAAATTCTAAGCAGCAGCAATGTACAATGCAGTGAGAGATTTCAGAAAAGCCCTGATTCAACTCACCATTAAGAGTTCACATCCAAAAAGAAATCAGTCCAGAGGAAACAGTAAAAAAAGAGTAAATGATAAATACATCCAAAGAAAAAATAACCCATCAAATAAACTCAGAATTTCACAAAAGAGCAGAAGCCCAGATATTTAGAACAAGAGATGAGGAACATCTGTCTTCTGAAATGTCATCCATGCTCTTACCCTTCTTTTCCCTGTTCTCCAAGGCCTTCCCCCTCCTTCTTTCCCAGTCTGGTCAGGTTCATCTTGGTTTCAAGAGTCATAAGAAAGGAACCGTTGTACGAGATCTCGAAGTCAAACCAAAGGCCTACCAATGGAAATTCAAACAGTAGTTTATACAGTGGTCCCAACAAAATGGCCTCAATGTCAGTGCATTAATAACAAAAGTGTCATTTGCGTGTTCCACTTACAAAACCCAAAACTCTTCCCAGAGAATAATCATTGTGATTCTCTAACTTTAACATTTGAATCAAGTGTTGTTAAGGCTGGGTTTGATCAACTCAGAATTATTTCTAAATTGAAATCAATTGTCTCTTTTAAGGACCTGGAGAATGTTATTCATGCTTTTGTATCATCACGCATTGGCTACTGTAATTCTTTATATATAGGTATCTCACAGGGGCAATTATCTCGTCTTCAATTAGTGTAAAATGCTGCTGCTAGACGTTTGACTCACACAGAGAATTATCCCAGTTTTGGTTTCTTGCCTGTAAAATTTTGAATTGAGTTCTGTTGATGGTTTTTAAAGCGTTGCATGGTATTGCCCCAAAATATATTGTTGACCTTTTGATACCTTATCAAAAGACAAGAAATATGAGATCTTCGAGTCAGATGATTCTTCATGTTCCTAAAACTAGATTAAAATCAAAGGGTGATAGGGCCTTTTCAGTGGCTGCCCCATGATTATGGAAACTTCTTCCAATGCACATTAAATCTTGTCCATCTGTGGATGCTTTTAAGTCTAAGATTGAAATATCTTTTTAGTATAGCTTTTAAAATTGATTAGAGTGATCAGGATTTAATTTTTATTTTTTGTTTGTGTGACTGTATGTCATTGTTTTTGTTGTATTAATGATGCTGGAAAGACTTTGGTCAACGGCAGTTGTTTTAAATATGCTATTGAAATAACATTTGTATTGTATAGATGCATGAAATATCTTGGCGTGTACTGAATAATGACCAGTAGATGGCATGCTAGCAACTTGTAGGATGCCCAAAGATACTATCAGATTTTAATTCTGTGCAGTAGTAGTGTGAAGAGGATATTGAAGGAAGCGCTATACCATATCCTGTCTGTTGGAGGTGGTGGAATGTTGACAGCTAGTGTTCCTCGACACTCCTGAACCTCCACCGTCAGGAGCAGCGGTGTATTGGAGACCTCCTCTATCTTCTTCTTAATGAACTCAGTTTCCGTGGCTTTCTGGAAATACTTAGACTTGGTAATCTTGTCCACAAAGCGCATGATTTTGCTGGGTCTGTGTCCCCCAACATAACTGTGAAGAAAAGAAGCCACAAGCCAATTATTCATGCAGTAAGTTCTGCCAGAGTAATATCCAGGTGTGCAGCCATCTTCAACCCATAGACAGATTCTGTGCCCGAGCTCTATGTTGGGCTGCTAAACTGGTAACAATATCCCAAATTAAAGACAGAAGGAAATGGAAAGATTCTCAATCTCACCCTTCCACTCCTGGAATTTCAGGCACTTCCACAGCATCTTCCTCATCAGAAGATCCTGCACTCGATGACTCTTCATCACTGTCAGCCAGGAAGTAAGTGCGTGGTCTGGGTCTGGTCCATGCACACAAACAAACAAAGGCTTATGCAGCATGTTTCTATGATAACTGGTTTTCTGAAAGTAAGGGAAGTTGCAAAGCTGCAAAACACCTATACTAAAGTCCTTTACACAGCCGATACACAGTCAAAAAAAAGCACTTCTTCATAAAGATGAAAAGGTCTGTTCCGAACCCCAGAGAGCTGTAACACTTTTAGGTATCGTCGGCATATTTCACACACAAATGCACAATCACATGTATCACTCATCTCAATCCCAGAATGCAATGTGAAGCTTATTCAAGGGCTTAGAACAGAACTTCTGCAAGCACATGCGGGGATGTGGTGGTGTTTCAATGGTGAAGTGTCTATCAGTTTAATATATGGAGCTAAATTCTAAGCAGCAGCAATGTACAATGCAGTGAGAGATTTCAGAAAAGCCCTGATTCAACTCACCATTAAGAGTTCACATCCAAAAAGAAATCAGTCCAGAGGAAACAGTAAAAAAAGAGTAAATGATAAATACATCCAAAGAAAAAATAACCCATCAAATAAACTCAGAATTTCACAAAAGAGCAGAAGCCCAGATATTTAGAACAAGAGATGAGGAACATCTGTCTTCTGAAATGTCATCCATGCTCTTACCCTTCTTTTCCCTGTTCTCCAAGGCCTTCCCCCTCCTTCTTTCCCAGTCTGGTCAGGTTCATCTTGGTTTCAAGAGTCATAAGAAAGGAACCGTTGTACGAGATCTCGAAGTCAAACCAAAGGCCTACCAATGGAAATTCAAACAGTAGTTTATACAGTGGTCCCAACAAAATGGCCTCAATGTCAGTGCATTAATAACAAAAGTGTCATTTGCGTGTTCCACTTACAAAACCCAAAACTCTTCCCAGAGAATAATCATTGTGATTCTCTAACTTTAACATTTGAATCAATATATCTAAATTATATAATTGATACTTTTTCATCATTTCATCAAGTTTCACTAACCCAAAAAACATGATTGCTTTGATTCTCTACTATTCTGACACAACAGGCCACCAGTTGCTTGTCCCCTGAAAACAAGCAAAGCACTTCTTTCCTTCAACTTTGCCTGATTTGAACACTCTACACCAAATCAAGCGGGCTGGAATTCTGCATCCAGCATGTTTACACTGATTAAATTCTTACAGGAGTCACTAGTGAACCCCCGGAAATCTTGAAAGCCATGCCGTCATTATGCACACTTCCTCCTGAGCGAGTGAAAGGTCAGTACTTGAGTTTGCTCCACTCTGATTGGCTCAGAGACACACTGATCCTCTGAGCTCAGTGGGCTGCTTCCTCTATGACGAACGAGAAGTTTAACAAGCTGGCAGGAGTCATTTACCAAATCACACAGACTCACTGTAGGGGTGCTGCTCCATCAGTACAGTGCAGATAGAGCTTGACTCCAAGGCACATCTAATGGTTTTGCAGGACAGTCCACAGTAAATGATTTGAGTATTATTTACTATAATTTACAGAATCATTTACAGACTTTTTTTTTAATCAGCAGTAAAATAAAGAGATGAACAAGGTCTCATGACACTGCTGAAAGAACCACACTTAAAGTAAAATTTTGTTAGGCACCTTGTGTGTTTGTTTATTAATTTTTTAAAGCCATGTTAGGCACCTTGTGTTTGTTTGTTTATTAATTTTTTAAAGCCATGTTAGGCACCTTGTGTGTTTGTTTGTTTATTAATTTTTTAATGCCATGTTAGGCACCTTGTGTGAAAATGTAACCTGGCGATTCTTGCTATGGGCCCCATGTTTGTTGCCAAAGTCTTCTATAAGTGATTTTAGCATTACAGCATTCCTGCAGTTCAAAGAGTAGAACAAGTGCTACACCAAGGTCATGGATTCGATTCCCAGGGAAGGCATGAACTGATGAAATGTGTACCCTGAATGCAATCCAAGTCACTTTGGATAAAAGTGTCTGCCAAATGCATAAACAGTAAAGTTGCTATCCATGTGTTACAGTGTTCTGGTAGCTTCTGAGCCACTGTCAAAGTGGTTGCTAGTGGTTGTCCATAGTGGTTTCTTGTAAGGCTCAATATTTCACATATACATATACATATATATATATTAAGGCTGCACGATTAATCGCATGCGATATTTAATGCGCATCTTGTCAGAAAGCCGGTTCTGTAATCAGCGGTAAATCTCCATCACCTGCGGGCTTTCACATTGAGCAGCATTAACTACACAGAGCCCTTTCTCTTTTCTGACCACCGCAAATAAATCTCTCTTGAATATTTTTTTCTATTTCGGAAAGTCATAAACACTTTTTTAAACAAATTTTTTCGTATGCAATTGGAGCAAATGGGAATGCAAAAATTCTATTTCTTGCAGTTTCCATTCACAACCAGTTTACCCAACTATGATGACTTCCACTTCTGAGAACCCCAGAAATGTGAAAAGTATCTATTGTGCTTTCATTGCAAATATACTTTTTCTTAAAGAAAGTACTAATGATTTGAATAAAGGACCATTTGTAAATTTTTTACTTGTAGGCAGGCCAGAGGGCTTCTTGGCATCGGCTTTCAGCTTGGACGCAAGTAGCATCCTTCTGAACCATTCCTCTTTGTCTCTTCCTGTCCTCCCAAACAGGTACAGTACAGGTTCTGTGTGCACTCTCTTAGGTTCTTCACTAGTGCCTACAGCCTCGGGCCTGTCTCCTACTGCAGGGGTCTTCTCCTCCACCACATCAGACTTATCTCCCTGCACTTTGGCCAGGAAGTCATCCTGCTTGGCCAGCTCAATGCAGATGGGATACTTCTTATTCCACACCCTTTTCCTGGCCAGGCTATGAGGCACCAGGTAGATCTGTAGTACAAGAACTCAAATGTAACCTTCATTTGTTTAAATAGTATGCATTTAAAGGGTTTAATAAGTTTTAATTTTAAAAAAGCTTGGCAAAATAACTGTTTTTAGAAAGGTTCAGATTTCACACTTTTTTTTCTGTGCAAATGAAATTCTGTATCACAGATGCTTAAGTGCAAGAAAAAGTTTGAGTTTCATTATAGAAATATTATTATGGCACCCTGTTTGTCAGTAACATTTTAAATACTAAACATTCTATGTCACATTTTATAATTCAATTATAAAAAAATTCTGTAATTAGAGTCACAGAAAGATTTTCAAACCTTAATTTACATAAACAAAAAAAAAAAAACTAAAGTTTGAATGGGGCCTGTACATTAAGTGCTCTGGGCTAAATTAATTGCAGAAATTTAAAACAACAAAACAGGTTGTGCACTGAGCGATCGTGTGTACCACCCACCTTACTGTTGGTGAGATCATAGATTTTCTGGCTAACATAGGTGACGTCAGGTTTGAGCTCGTTGAAGGTTGCCCGGCGGGGGATATTGCGGTTAGGTTTGGACAGTCGCAGGACAGAGCCCTCCAGACGCACATACACAGAGTGAGTGAATGTGGCATGATACGTCTCAGGGTCATAGCTGTAGATCTCATTCATCCAACCCTGAGTACATAAGCACAGAAATTTTACAACGAAACAAATGGGCCACAAAAAATAAAAATAAGTAGTAAATAAGGGACCAAGCACAATCTACACTGCATTAATTTGTTGGGCTACAAGTCAGACCGTTATCCATTATGTCACACCATATACAGCTTCCACATTCTGAGAAACATTTCAAGTTGAGAATGAACACATTTGTGGAAAAACTGCAATGTTATGAATAATTCTGAATACAAAAAACAATCCATTCTAAATGTTTTTGTTGTTTGTTTTTTCCAATATAAAAGAAAATAGTAAGTGATTATTAGTTTTTTTTCAACCATTTGATAAGTCTTATGAACACCACTTCAGTACTTGGCCCCTAAAGGCAAAATGGAGAAAATTACCCCTGAAAAGCATTGCTTGACCAGGACACGTAAATAAAAACACTACAAGGAGTCGGTGCCAATAGCCTTGTGGGCAGCGTGTTGACATATTTAGCACCGTTGCACTTCGGGCATCCCGAGTCCGAGTCCCGGCTCGGGGACCTTTCCCGATCCAGTCTCCCCTCTCTTTCTGGCACTTCACTTCCTGTCAACTAACTGTCCTATCAAAATAAAGGCAAAAAATGCCAAAAATAAATCTTAATAAAAAAATAGGCAAGGACAAAATTAAATTAATTACAGCACTGATAAGTAATCAAGTATGAGGAAGGACTGTACTGCCTTTGTTGGCTGAAGGATGGGCAGTCAGATGAACAAAGGTAGGCCTGATAATATTACACAGCTCAGGCAAAATGACAACGCTCAGCCTTACAGCCTGTAACAATGTACCCGTACCACACATTACTCTCTTCCACTTAATCAGTCAGGTTAAAAACTATAACAATACATATATAGAAATATTTTAACTGAAGTAACTGTTTTACTATTATAACTGTTTTAGCATCCACCAAAGACAACAACTTTCTGTTTATTCTAAGCATGCACTGCAGTTATGTGCTGTGTCAATATCAGTCATAACAGTCATTTTGATTGTTATCGCTCTTGAGCTGGAAAAATAAAAATAAATAAATCGATTTTTACTTTTTTTCAGCTTAATTAAATTGTGGTAATTTTAGTAAAAACATCCCTGAATGTTCTAAACCTCTTCATTTGTAAGATTTTACTTCATGAGTCAATCAAGGACCTAGTCAATGATAAGGATAACAGCTTTACCAAAAATCTTTACCAAAAACGATCTGGTGCCTCTTTGCTTCAGTTCAGTTTAGAGAAATGGCTACAGATTAAGTGGTGACGGTGATGATAATAAGCCTGATTATGAGCATTCCTGGCTGCTATAAAGTAGTTCATTCTGACATAACGTCACTGTCTCCAAACAAGTAAACTACAAATGATACTAATATACACTCATGGTGTGCTGAAAAAAATATCATGAACCTAACCTTTATATCCAAAATGAAATCTCAGTTGGCCAGACAGAGATTCATCTTCTCGAAATCATGATGGTAGTGTACACAGTGAGTTTTTTTTTAAAGTTTAGCTTAAAGGTGTGCTATCATGTGACACCCTAGTTTATATTGTTACTTTCTCATAAACGGGTTGTCCTGCACTGAAACATGACATCAGCAACATCCACCATGACCTAGTGTGACTATCAAAGTGTGACAATCATGTGATCATTTTCCACTTCAAGCAAGCAATGCAGAACTGACCAGATAATTTCATTATCAGGAGAGGCCAAGCAAGGCCACAGGCCACACTAGATAAGTTGGTTATCAGCTTTTTTTTTTTTTTTGAAGGCCTCAGCCATTTTCTGTAGCTGAACAACCTCCTTTAAAGGCTCTGGTTAACAATCTTCACCCTAGTACAACTTTAATGAACAAGTCAAGTGTCAACTCAGGAAGCAGTCTATGCACATCAGAAAAGTCATAATAGCTAGGCTTAGCAAAATTAAGTAACTGTCAACAATAACAGACTGTTGGAGTGGAGAGACATTTAAAAAACAAGCAAATGTACTTTCTGAAAAATACAATTTGGATTCCTTGTGAGCACTATGGCATATGGAAGATAGACTTAATACTCATTGCCATTATGCATTTTTTTTTAGCATTTGTAGATCTGAGAATATGATGACACATTTTCCTTGCCAGGCATTATATAACTGGTATGATCAAATATCTCAGTAAAGCATGGTGAAAAGCATAGTGAATAGACAAAAATATAGGCAAGCTGCCAGGTAAACATCTAGCTCTTCAAAACTACACCATTATCCACAGCACCAGAATCATCTTCAGCAGCAGGGTGGAACCCACCTTGTGGATGGCTGGTTCTTTGATATCCAGAGGAACCCTGTTCCATTTCTCTCTTCTGCTCCAGCTGCCATGATGGCCACATGAAGATCTGCTTCTTGCTGACAACCACACCACCAGAATAGCTAGCACGAAACCTGCCACCACTCCCATCAAAACCCAACACACATATGTAGGAAGTGGTAACACAAAGTAACCGTAAACTAGAGATATAAGAAGAATCAGCACGTTGTGGGGTACTCCTGGAGGCTCATCTTCTTCCTCCTCCTCTTCCCCTCCTTCAGTTGGTTCCTCACTGCATCCCCCTGTACTCCCTCGTCGAACTTGGGATGAACAAGGCTCTTCTCCATCTAACTCTGTGTCAGTGCAGGGCTCAAAGTCTTCAGTGTAGAGCTCGCAAAACTCTTCGTCTTCTTGACGAGCAAGAGTTGACATAAAACACCTGTCCAAGCCCAGAGAAGGTGATTTGTGCAAAGGCAGCTCAACAGTTGGCCCCTCAAGAGGACTTTCTCCTTCCAGGTCTTCCTCTTCCTTGATGCAATAGTTATTGTTGCTTTCTGAGTGGCCATTGAGGGCAGACAGGTTGGAGAGTTCAGAGGCACTGGAGGAAAGGTTCCTGGACCGGTAAGAGACTCCTGCAGTTGTGGAAGTGTTTGCGCTGATGCCACCAGGTTCCTCGCCAATGATTTTGCTGAGCAGCTGAAAGGGCTCACACATGACCTCTGACAAACGCCGCTTTGTGTCTTCAATACGTGCCTCCACCTCCTGAACTTTGAAGAAGGAGCGGCTATCGGGTGAGGTGAGGGGGGATGAGGGAGCAGTTTTGGAGTCTCCACTCGCGGCAGGGGCGCGAGACTGGGTGAAAGGTTTGAAGAGGTGCAGATTGAGCCGGGAATCTGAGGGCCGATGAGATGATGAAGCCTCCTGCTCGGATCGAGCAGTGTCTGTGGACAAAGACTTAACCAGGGTCTTCATCAAATGCCGGTGCCTTATCGGCTGGGGAGCAACTTCACGAGATTCCACCTCAGTGGAAAGGGACTTGATTAGGCTGAGGAAGGGCTTTGAGGGAAGGCCAGAGACCTTGGCTGGGGATGAGCTGGAGGAAGCTGAATGGGTAGAAGGTACTGAGGCAGTCGACCTCTGTTCAGAGAGGGGGGATGAGGGAGCAGTTTTGGAGTCTCCACTGACAGCAGGAACACGAGTCTGGGTGAAAGGTTTGAAGAGGTGCAGATTGAGCCGGGAATCTGAGGGCCGATGAGATGATGAAGCCTCCTGCTCGGATCGAGCAGTGTCTGTGGACAAAGACTTAACCAGGGTCTTCATCAAATGCCGGTGCCTTATCGGCTGGGGAGCAACTTCACGAGATTCCACCTCAGTGGAAAGGGACTTGATTAGGCTGAGGAAGGGCTTTGAGGGAAGGCCAGAGACCTTGGCTGGGGATGAGCTGGAGGAAGCTGAATGGGTAGAAGGTACTGAGGCAGTCGACCTCTGTTCAGAGGGCCATGAGAAGCTAGCAAGACCAGAAGTGGATGTGCAACCCAGGCTGATGTAAGGGTGCTGTATAGCCAGGGCAGAAGTGTGGGTCTGGGATGACAGTCCTGCAACCATGTCCGCTTCCAGTCCTTCAGAGAGAAGCTCCTCGCTGGCCTCCTGTGCAGTGACTACAGTCTGATCTTCAGTTTCAAGGCCAGAAGGGGAAACAGCTAGCCTGTAGAGTTCTTCTTCTTCCTCCTCCTCTTCCTCATTTCCCTTGGCGGAAAAGTGTATGGTGATGGTATCTCGGGAGAGCGAGCGCTGCACCTGCAGCTTACGGGCTGCTGAGGACCGAGAAGAGGAGGAGGATGAAGAAGGGGGGTTTAGTGTGTTTGCATGGTCACCACCCTGACTGGTCATGGCACCACTCAAAAGAGCCTGTGGGTGCAGAGAAGAGAAAGGTTACATATAATACACACTCTTCAGATCAGTTCATCATCCCCATACTGAAAAAAAAAAACAGGCTAGTTCAGGTCAGTGTTTCCCATTAGTTTCCTAGACTGTGGTGGCCTGCCTGAGTTTCATACTGAGCCGAAAACAAATCTTATAATAAAAGATCTCTAACATTGTGTTTGGTGCCATTGCTTTGGCAAGCATCTGTCAATCGAATTAAAAATGTGATATGGCTTAGCGCAATTATCAGAATGCAAAAGGCTGTGATTTAATTTTAGAAGTATACAGTTTGTTGCGCTGTGTGTTTTTGAGTGAAGCTATGCAACGTTTTTATTTACACACGTGCAGCTCATGGTTTACGGTCTCAGTTAATACTGGAAACTTCATCTCTATATGTGCTGTGAGTTTAGCCTACATCTGAGAATGCAATGTGTACCATTCAGTTTAATTTCACATTTGCATAACTCTCAGGTTAAAAAGGGTGACATTTTTTACATTCTGTCAAGGGTTTAATTCTGGCACATTTACAGTAATGTTAATGTGCATGGCTCCTGTAACCAAATAAACCTAACATTTCTGTCTTGATTGTCTTCCAGAAAATAACAGTGTGAATGTAATGTGGACTAAGACACCATCAACTAAAGTGAGGTTTAAGTCCACTTTAAAGTCCTGATACAAGTAATTGCAAAGGTTTTTTAAACCCTGTTCAAACGGATTACTGCAAAGGGTTGAAGCTCTCGATTTCTCAAAGTGAACCAGATTGATGAATTTATTTAAAATTGTCCCCCTTAAGGGTCTGAGGGCTGACAAAATACTGTGGGAAACACTGCTGCTAGTAACAAACGTAAAGGGATAGTTCACCCAAAAATTACGATGCTTGTTTCGCTTCAAAAGACACCAATTCGTTGACTAGCGTTATATGGTTCACATCACAAACAATGTGTGTGCTTTTTGGAGCATCAGCATTTGGGAACCCATTCACCTGGACTAAAAAAAAAAGATTCATTATTTTCTATCTTTGTGTTCATCTGAAGACAGAAAGTATATATACACATCTGGAATGCCACGATGGTTAGTAAATGATGACAGAATGTATTTTTGGGTGGATTATCCATTTAAAAGACCACTTAAAACTATTACTGGCAACCAATATAAGGTACCTTTTCACACATTTGTGCTGGTTTCAGCTGGTCACCCAACATTCCTACACAAGTTAAGCTAGTTTACCTGCAACAATACCAGCTTAACCAGTTTGTACACAATCCACTTTTAGTTAAGTCAAAGTTGAGAATTCAAGTGCTTTATTTATTTTTAAAAAGATATACAAAAACAAAAAACAATACATCAAATTCTAGACACAAACTAAACTTGACTTTAACTTGACAAATCCCAAAACAAGACACTCACCAAAGAAGAGGGTTACATAAAAGCCACATCTAGGCACCAGACAAAAGGAAACTAGCTATGAACACACAACAGAACTTCCTTGACACAAACAAGGAACACCTGAGCACAATCAAGACAGAAAAAGGAAACTTGAGGGACAGGAAACAATGAACAAGACTGGACTATGAACAGGAATAAACTTCAAACTAAAAGACATAACATAATAAAAGACATGAATTGAAACAAGAACAAAACTTAACCAAATGTGACTGCACACATTTAAAACCACTTAAAGGGTTCATGAATTGAGAAATAAAAAAATTCCCTGATCTTTTGACACATAAGATTCATTTTGCAATAAAACCAAACTGCAAGTTTCAGAACTCAAAACTTCCTTGATAGACCACAAACAGTTTTTAGTTGTGAAAGAATAACGTCTCTGCATACCTTCCAAAGGATTTGATCAAAAAGACTGTTTATTTTTCAATGAAGTCCGTGATCATGGTCACAGTCATAATTGGACACACACTTTTCAGTGAAATATGGACACTACCACAACGCCGCAACATGTAAGTAACCAAAATTATTAGTAATTCTACAGCCTGATCAAAATAAATGATTGTTGTGATATGTAGGGACTCATGTAGTCAGCCATTCTGTCTCAAAATCTATTTATGTTTATGCATTGGGAAAATCAAGCCATTGTCTAAACAATCATATGCACATTGTTCCTTTTAGTACCACAAATAAACAACTTATATTCAATTTATGATTAAAATATACACAGAAAATTTTACTTTTTTTGAGTGGAATGGTAAACAACTTGTTTATTATGTTAAAATTTTAGGTCTAATGTTTATAATTGGCAGGTCAACAGTTTTACTAGCTATTGCTCATCACTGCCACCAATCTTTCATGAATTCAAAAGAGATTTTCATTTTATTTTGTGTTACAGATAGGCCTCCCAAGACTGCTACAATTCCACCAGAAGTAGTGCTTTGGCAAAACAATGTCAGATCATATTGTCAAACTTCAATCCAATTTTTGCTTTTATGTCAAACATGTCTTGGAAAGATTTCAAGATTGCTGTGGAAGGATGTGGAAACAATGATTAATAAAAAATGTGTGTCTTTAATGTTTTTTTTTTAATAAAGGAATTTAACAAAATAAAGATACTATAAACAAAAATACTTTTACTGGGAATTGCCTGACCATATGTATACATTTATGGGGGAAAACATGTTAAACATGTTTTATTTATTTATTTAATTTTACATTCTTATGTGACTCTATAAAAAATGCACGGCTATGACCGCTTCACCAAACAGAGCTTTTGTGTTCAACAGAAGAAAAAAACTCATACATGTTTGGAACAATTTGAGAGTCAGTAAATAATTTTTGGGTGAACTATCCCTTTAATAATGTATGAGTGAGCCCTGCTGGCATTATGTCTACGTCATTCACACTTAATTTGGAGGTCATGCCCTTCCCCTTGTCATAAAAATGTGTGTGTGTGTGTGGAAGCACGAAGTGCAGAGGGACTATTATTTTAAAAGTGTCCTGTTTCAGGTATGGTATTGGTTCATCCATTTATACTGTTGATGAGAGTTCTACAGCCGTGGCCAAAAGTTTTGAGAATGACACAAATATTAATTTTCACAAAGTTTGCTGCTTCAGTGATTTTATATCTTTTTGTCAGATGTTACTATGGTATACTGAAGTATAATTACAAGTATTTCATAAGTGTCAAAGGCTTTTATTGACAATTACATTAAGTTTATACAAAGACTCAGTATTTGCAGTGTTGACCCTTCTTTTTCAAGACCTCGCCCTGGCATGCTGTCAATCAATTTCTGGGCCACAGCCTAAATGATGGCAGCCCATTCTTGCATAATCAATGCTTGGAGTTTGTCGGAATTTGTGGGTTTTTGTTTGTCCACCTGCTACTTGAGGTTTGACCACAAGTTCTCATTGGGATTAAGGTCTGGGAACTTTCCTGGACATGGACCAAACATTTTGATGTTTTGTTCCCCGAGCCACTTGGGGCTCCATTGTGCTCCATTGTTCGTCACCAAACTGTTCTTGGATGGTTGGGAGAAGTTGCTCTCAGAGGATGTTTTTGTACCATTCTGTATTCATGGCTGTGTTCTTATGCAAAATTGTGAGTGAGCCCACTCCCTTGGCTGAGAAGCAACCCCACACATGAATGGTCTCAGGATGCTTTGCTGTTGGCATGACACAGGACTGATGGAAGCGCTCACCTTTTCTTCTCCGGATAAGCTTTTTTTCCAGATGCCCAAAACAATCAGAAAGGGGATTCATCAGATAAAATTTCTTTACCCCAGTCCTCAGCAGTCCAATCCCTGTACCTTTTGCAGAATATCAGTCTGTCCCTGATGTTTTTCTTGGAGAGAAGTGTCTTCTTTGCTGCCCTTCTTGACACCAGGCCATCCTCCAAAAGTCTTCGCCTCACTATGCGTGCAGATGCACTCCCACCTGCCTGCTGCCATTCCTGAGCAAGCTCTGCACTGGTGGTGCCCCGATCCCGCAGCTGAATCAACTTTAGGAGACGGTACTGGCACTTGCTGGACTTTCTTGCGCGCCCTGAAGCCTTCTTCACAACAATTGAACCTCTCTCTTTGAAGTTTTTGATGATTCGATAAATGGTTGATTTAGGTGCAATCTTACTTGCAGCATTATCCTTGCCTGTGAATCCCTTTTTGTGCAAAGCAATGATGACGGCACATGTTTCCTTGCAGGTAACCATGGTTAACAGAAGAAGAACAATGATTTCAAGCACCACCCTCCTTTTAAAGCTTCCAGTCTGTTATTCTTACTCAGTCAGCATGACGGAGTGATCTCTAGCCTTGTCCTCGTCAACACTCTCACCTGTGTTAACGAGAGAATCACTGACATGATGTCAACTGGTCCTTTTGTGGCAGGGCTGAAATGCAGTGGAAATGTTTTTTTGGGGGGGGGGGATTAAGTTCATTTTCATGGCAAAGAGAGACTTTGCAATTAATTGCAATTCATCTGATCACTCTTCATAAAATTCTGGATTATATGCAAATTGCCATCATAAAAACTGAGGCAGCAGACATTGTGAAAATTAATATTTGTGTCATTCTCAAAACTTTTGGCCATGGCTGTAGTCTTTATGCACCACTCTGAGTACTTTTTTCACGGCTTATTGCGTATTAAAGTCGCCATGAAATCAAAATGTACAATTCTTATTTTATATGTAATATTGTACTGTTTATTATAAATGATTTATCTGTGCACTTCATTATTTTTTAAAAATTAATGTGCTCTCATAATCTTTAATCAAATACGTTAACCTTCCCTCCCCCCTCGAAACGACTTCTCTTCTCTTCCTGTCATGTGCTATGGCGTGAGGGCAGGGCTATCTTGGTCTGTCTCGTTTCTGCCTTCATTTTGTTAGCAACGCCCAACTTCCAACAATCCAATCAATTCCTTCATTTTTTCTCATTTCAGTAGCCGGTTCACTCGGATATACGTCACAATAGGAAAAAAAGGACAATCTCAACTTCCGTTTCATGCCGACTTGAAATCTTTTTAGCAATGTGCGCATCCCGCTCTTTATTTTTTCATTCATGCATGTTTCTTTACAACTCTAAAGTGTCAATAACTTTGAGCAGTTCTGTGCTAAGCAGATATGTTTACATACACAATATAAATCATATAGCAAAATCTCTAACGATAGACACTTTATACCGTCACTGCATTATATATATATATATATATATATATATAAATATACACAGTATATGTATATATATAAAACTATGCACAACCAAGCAAACTTGCAAACATTGCGAGTGTAAACTAGACTTTTGTGGTGGGGAATAAACATACTTTATGATTGAGTCAGTAGACTATTCATTAAGCCAATAACTCAAAAACGCTCATTCATTCAGAAGGTGTTTAAATTATCTGTACACAATCTTACAAGGTTCAACTGAAGAGTAATGCTGCACCAGGATAACGCTGGATCAATGCATTAGCCAATGCTGACGCCAGTCATGTGAAATCACTATAGAATTCTGGGCATTCACGGCATCATGTCTCACACACACTGTGCTTTTCTACACGAGGGGAAGAAGATTATTGTTAAGTCAACAGTGGCAGGCAAATAGCTGTTAACAGTTTTCCCAAAGGACAGCTGGTCTCCGGTCCACAGGGAGGAGAGCTTAATGATTATTAAAGAAAGCTAATGCAGCTTCTAAACCAAACATGTCCTGCTGTCATGGCTGGCCACACACAAGAAATGCTTCAGAATTATTTAGTCTATCTCCAAGCATCTAACAACCACAGTAATTAATCATCTCATATTTCCACCGATTACATTTGGCAATTTGACCTATTTTTTCTACATATAGCAATGGCCTTTCTGAGCTCACTATAACTGTCTTAAGAATATATAATAAAGGCAGTCTTTGAAGGGAGTGACTGCTGTACAGGGACGAGAGCTGTTTGAAGTTTCTCACAACAAGGAAAAGAAAGAGTGCAAAAGAGAATGCTGAATTTAAAGCTGATCAAAGCAGTCAAGGGTAAAGCACTAAAACAACGACAGCAAAGAGATGAGACACACCACATCAAATGTATTTCCTCAACGGAGAGACAGAGTGCTCAACTGGGGCACATAGCCAGAAGCAGCTCTATAATTTTCATGATTTCAAATGAACTCCATGTAGACTCTTTAACATGTCCTTCCAACAATTTGGTGCCGTTTGGCCTGGGTTTGAGTGAATCAAGAGACATCCCTATTTGATACAATATTAATGATATGTCATCAAAAGTATGGCATTTAAAGGGGTCATATGATGCGATTTCAAGTTTTCCTTTCTCTTTGGAGTGTTACAAGCCAAAGCTGTTGTGTAGTTGATGTGTAGCTGTGGGTACATAAGGAAATGACACTAGTGCAATTAATGAAACTTACTTAAAATTGAGCATTGAAGGCCCGGTTATACTTCATTTCGCACTCCGCTCCGTCTAGCGCACATGTGGAGTGTGCAAGCTGTTCAAAGTACTGTATATTCCATTGACTGTGAGCTTCAATGGACATGTTCGTTGTGCACACCTACCTAGTAGACCTTCTGAGCAAAGTCCATGTGGTCAGCTGACTGTGCTT